TACTTCTGGCTTAAGTATCCCATATTGTGACAACGGAAGATCTTCCAAGCAAGGTTAAATGTTGCAAGAACGTGGACGAAAATTTACCGTAGATGGTTTAGTAATCAAAGCACTTTCTATATATTTTCATGAAATTGCTTTAATTAAAGTAGTATTTTTTAAATCGAAATTATGGTCAAACTCATTACGGTGAGCGACTAATGCAATGAGTTTGTTGTTTTGTAAAATATCCCTTTTCTGTTTATATACAGTTTTATTTAAATTTCTTGATGTTTTTCCAATGTATTTCTTGCAGGAATCATTACAGGTTGCAGTGTAAAGTGCTGCTTCAGATTTTAGGCTGTTATTATTTAGTTTTGTTTTAATTCTGTAATTGTTTTAGAAACAGTTGTAACAAATTTTATATTAAATTCTATTCATTTGTAGCTGTGATAGATTTGAAGAAGTTGGTAGAGTATATTACAACTGCTGCTAATTACATGAAGTTACTACTATTTTGAGTGTGCGGTTTTGGTTGTAGTAGTAAAAGAAAAACCGTAACAAGCTACAGTAACTTTATCTATCTAGCTCCAAATTGTAGCTAAGGAATCTTCCAGGTTATTGCTAAAAATAATTTGTGAGGCAAAACATATAACAGTTTTGTATTATGTATTTTTCTGTTTAGATTACTTGAATGTATCCATCCCGAATTCTTTTGAGGATTAAACTGCGTAACCGGTAATGAAATTCGGAGACTGTTAATTTTTTTTCGTAGTAGTCAAATTTTCACGTCTGTTGTATTTAGGAATTAAAAGTTATTATATTCTTCCTAAAACCAGTTGTTTTTCTAGTTTATGCTACATTAATTTCCACCATTGGCCGGATGTGAACGTTCCGAACACCCAAAACTGAACTAAAATTCCGTCAACTGCGCATAGGCTCCACACATGCCTTACGTTTTTACTCAAACACTCAAAGAAAAAAAAAAAGCAATACAATCTAGAACTTCCACCCAAAAGAAACCACTTCCGCCTAAAGAAACAAAATAAAAACCGGGGCTGATATGAACTTACGAATGGACATAAAAGACCATCAAAAGGACGTTTTCGTCCGTTGGACAGCATGTTGGCCTGGGTTCACAGATTTCTTCGGAAAACGACGTCCAAGATCTCCAAGAGACAGTTCACCAAAGGCCGTCGTCCCAGTAAGTCACAACTTACCCTCCATTTTCTTACGTACCCATCTGCGGACGCCTTTTATAACTCCACTTATCTCCTCTTTTCAACGAGAGATATCTCACCGATTTATCATTTGTTGTATTTTACGTTAATACAATTGTTTATTTTTTAAAACTTCGTTGTTTCTTCTTTGTTCTGACAACATCCGATTAATATAACCGCCTTGTTCAAGTGGCTACGTGAACACTAATTCTAGAATCACACTGATTTTAGCAGTAAAAGAAGGCAAGGTTTTCTATTTTTAGTTCTGATGAAATATTGAGATGGTGCCTAATTATTAGGCGTTTTTTAAACAATATTTATTACGAAAAATGAAACATAATAATTCAACAATAACATATTTAAATGATTATTCCGCATTTTTATAACCTTAAAATAAAATAATATTCTTATTAAAAAAAGTAAACAAAACAGCAATTTTTAGTTAACAATAAAACTACAAAAACACCTGAGAATTATACACCAACCCAATATCATCATTTATAGATGTCTCTCTAGATCTGGTAGGTAGTAATTTATAACTTTTTTTTTAGTTTTATTAAGTTTATTTATATCGTTCCTATTTTCATTTTTATAAATTTGATAAGCTTTCTGTTTTGCATTAAATATGAAATAATTACAATATTGGAAGCGTTTAAAAAGTATTTTCAGTGTATTTCGCCTCATGTAATGATGCCACAAATATACATCAGTGAGACTACCAGAAATTTAAGTAACAGATTATATCAGCAGTAAAATTTATATTTATTTGAGTTAAGCCATTCCTTATTGATTCGAACTGCATTATTTTGTACAGTTATTCATAATGCATTTCCATCATACTTATTTTAATGCAATACAACTGTCAGCAATGCATTTTCAATATACGTATAAGTCTATTTTATTAGTAATGCTTGTATTAATTCCTGACCGCAGACAATCCCCTTCTTTCTTATATTAATTGCCTTACAATAATAAAAGCATTCATAATGCATTTCCGTTGTAAATTTATTTTCAATGCTGTCAAACCATTAGCAATGCCTTTGCACTATACATATAACAACTCTAAGTTTTTAGTACTGGTTTTTAATTTAATTCAAACCAAGCAAGGGGCTTCTGTGAGTCAAAAAGAATGGGAAGATTTTAGAATGAACCGGAAACTCAATCCTAAACAGGAAAGAAGGGATAAACTTTTACTCCTGTTCAAAAGACTAGGGGTGGAGCGTGTGAACCGTACAAATCTATCTTCTACTGAAGAAAAAAATAAATAGTAATTAAAATGGTAGATTTGAGGTGGAGACGTTAGAAGTATAGCGTTCTTTAAAGGAATCGGAAACCTAATCCTGAATAAACCGTATGAACCGGACGGTAGCCAAACATATCGACTCCTATTGAATACTTGCTTTAATTCCTGACCTTTTCTTCCTTTAAAGAAACATCAGACCCTTTCACTCCCCCCCCCCTAAAGTTACTTCGCAGTCCTTTGAGAGATTCTCATCCATCCACCCTTTTTCATGACATTTTACTATCATACCGGCTGGGCACTCAACGTTTTTTAGCAGAGTTTTCTGTTTAAAAATTACGTAAGGGAGCATCTTCTTACTATCATTATATGCACCAAGCATGGCTGGGAACCTATTCATCTCATTTCTAGTTGATTTTATTGGAACAGACTTCACCCCTTTGAACTACAGAGCTTGAAAAACAAGGTACATCAAAAGTCAAGGGTATTTGGGCAACATTTCCAATACAGCCTAAAGGATAATTCTGCTTTTTTCTTAGCTGAATAACAAAACGCTGAAAATTCAAAAGCTTATCTTCATAGTCATCAGATAAATGCTGGGCTATGGATGTCCTTCTAATAGATATATCAAACCTCTTCATAAAAAAGAAAACACCAGTTTGCTGAAGCTTTAAATGTGTTTCCAGGATACATGGTTTCGATAAGTTCTTTTGCCTTCATCCTTATTCCCACAGTACTTATGGAACATCCACTTGATCGTCTTTCTTTCACAAATTCAACTAAACTTTGTTCCATATCTGGATATTGATCTTTTCTTCCTCTACCTATAGCTTTGGCAGTTGATTTACACTTTTTTAGTCCATTTTTATTCTTTCTCCATAAACGTATGCTAGCCTCATTCATCTCATATTCTCTAGCTGCAGCTCTGTTTCCTATTCTTTCTGCTAATTCTATCAATTTTCACGATAACTCGCACGTCTTGACGACATTTTGGCGGTAAAATAAAACGTTATATTTATCGGGAAAACCGCATTGGTAATTTTCAACATTATTTTAACCTACTTTCGATTTTATTCTTAATGTCAAGGTCGGCAAAATGTCTTCGTAATTATTTTTTTTTTTTTAACAAAATTTAGAAATGCGTATTATACATAGGGATAGTTATATTTCTTAATATTTGGATCATTTGTTGGAGTGCATATTCTTTATGGGTGCGTATTATTTTCGGTAATTACGGTAAGTCAAAAGCTACTTGGATGGATGTAACTAAGGATTCTCTTGATCGACGAACTCAATGCCTTTTTTTTTTCATCAGTACTGAAGTATACAACACACATTGTAGACTAACTAATATTTAGCTCAGTGTCATTCGCACACCGACACCAATCCGACCACATGACTATCATCGACCCCCTGGAAATCATCACTGACCCCTTCGCTAGATTGTACTGGGCTATATGAAACCAGTAACCGACAGTATTCCTATATATATATATATATATATATATATATATATATATATATATATATATATATATATATATATATATATATATATATATATATATATATATATATATATATATATATATATATACATACCGGGTGTAACAATATATATATATATGTCTGATTAAATAAATTTCAAACATTATGTGTCTCTCTTTATTGTTAGTATAATCCTTTCGTAAATATGATAGAATTATGCTAAAAATAAGCAGACATAACGTTTGAAATTTATTTAATCAGACATATAACGGCTTAGTGGTAGAATCCCCGATTGACGCCAATTCAATCGGGTTTCGATCCTAGCTAGAGGCAACCAGATGTCTAGCCACACTGATGAGCTGTGATACAGCGAAACAGTCTGTCTGTGGATGACGATATATATATATGTATGTATATATATTATATACAGTACATATGTATGTATGTATATATTGTATACAGTACCTACGTAAATATTATGCGTATATCATGTATATGCATCTTTATGTATTAACTCTCACATACATTTATACTAACATGAATTCATTAGAAAAAAATCACTGTTTAATAACTCACTATCGAATTACACCCTGACCTGAATTAATGCGAACACAAACAGAAGCTACTTTAGCCGGGATTCGATCCTTGATTCTATTTTCATAACCGTTTGGCCAATTCCACACCTCCTTGCTTCCAAAACATGGCAGTCGATAGACGTGAATGAACACAGGCTTTTCTGTTTTGTATTTAATGTGCTTAGGTTAAAGAATTATGAGTTGTTACATTGGATGAATCCGAAAAGCCGTATGTCAAAATGCTGCTGCCGCTGCTACTACTGTGTGTACGTCAGTGTATCCGTGTGTGTGCGCATGTGTGTATGCGTGCCTCTATCATAGGTGCCTGTGTATGTGTTTTTTGTTCGTATGTATGTGAGTTTACGTATTTGGAGTTAATGCTTAACTTAAAAACTACATCTTGTATTTAGAAATAAAAATATAGAAATAAAAACGGAATTGTTCGAGCGTGCAAATTCGACCAAGAAAAATCTGGCATTTCTTTTTTATTTTTTAAAGATTACCTTTTGCTGTTGGACGTATTTACGTTCTTTCTTTCTTTCTTTTCTATATTTTCTTTCTTTCTTTTCTACATGTTCTTTTCTTCCTTCCTTCCTTCCTTCCTTCCTTTCTTTCTTTCTTTCTTCCTTTATTATTTGTTTATTTCTTTTTTATGTTCTTTCTTTCTATTTTCTTTTCTACATTTTCTTTATTTTACAATTTCTCTTTATTTTTGCTTGTTTTCATACTTTCATTCTTTCTTTTACTAATTTCTATTTTCTTTTTTGTTTCTTTCTTCTTCAGTATTGCATATTTTTTGTTTGTTTGTTTGTTCGTTTGTTTGTTTGTTTGTTTGTTTGTTTCTTTCTTTCTTTCTTTCTTTCTTTCTTTCTTTCTTTCTATTGGCCTTGTTTTGTCTCTTTCTATCTTCTCCAGCATTTCTTAGTGCCTCCCTCCCTTTCTTTCTTTCTTTCTTTCTTTCTTTCTTTCTTTCTTTCTTTCTTTCTTTCTTTCTTTCTCCTCTTATCTTCCTTTTTTTCTCTTCTTGCCTTCCTTCCTTCCTTCCTTCCTTCCTTCCTTCCTTCCTTCCTTCCTTCCTTCCTTCCAGGAGCTCTTATTTTTCTTTCTTTCTTTCTTTCTTTCTTTCTTTCTTTCTTTCTTTCTTTCTTTCTTCATGTTACTGTTATTGATATGATTATTGATTGCCTTGTTATTGCTATAAATTTCTACTATAATTATTATATTCTTCTTCTTCTTCTTCTTCTTCTTCTTCTTCTTCTTCTTCTTCTTCTTCTTCTTCTTTCTATTATAATTCCCATTCTTTTTAATATCACGCTTTCTTCTTTTTCGTCTGACTTTCCTTCCTTCTAAACATTTCTTCCTCTTCTTCCCAAACTCCTTTCCCTTCTCTTTCTCACGCATTTTGCAATTTCTTTTTTTTTTATCAACTTTAAAATCAATGCAGTTTTTCTTTTTTCTTTTTCTAGATCTTTGTTTTACACTTTTTTCTCGCTTCGTTTTCATTCGCTCTCATTTTTCATTTTTCTTCTTATTCCCCTCGATTACCTTTGCTTCTGTCATTCGCAAATGGGGCGGAATTAATACGGAATTAGCCGAAATGGATTTGCGGTCTCTATTTCTTTGTGCCTGGATTAACGCAGGTTTAAACGCTCTTTTGAGCCTTATGCTCAACGAAAAAAAAAAAAAAAAAAAAAAAAAAGAAATGAAAAAAAAAAATTGTTTTTCTGATTTTTTTGAACACCTACTTCCCTTCCTCTCCTCAACCATCAGCCACCCTTTCACCCCATCCTACCCTAACCCACTGACATACCCAGCCTCATCAACCCAAACCTTCCTTAATTTTCATCTCTGATTTATTTATAATTTAACAAAAATATGTTTATTATATATATATATATATATATATATATATATATATATATATATATGTATATATATATATATATATATATATATATATATATATATATATATGTATATATATATATAAACACACACACACACACACACACATATATATATATATATATATATAACATTCGCGCAAGTACAGAGAGAGACTCACACAAGCATGAGCTATTTTGTTTGTTTATTTATTTCTTCTTGTCACTGTGTAATGCACAATTAATTTGGACAGCAGTTCCCAGGTGCACCGAGACCACACAAACACAAACACACACATGCGCGCGCAGAAGCTGCGACGGGTATATTGTCGCCATTATATATTTTTAATTTCGCGCATGCGCGTTGTTTGTTTTTGATTTTGTCGACTGCACAGTATAATAAGGTCAGTTGGGTATTGTCTGTGAAAAAAAAAAAAGTACGATGACGCAATGGAAATGGAATGCTGTACTGCTTGGCATTCGCTCCAGAAGCTCCAATATGGAAATTTACGGGTGTTTGAGTGTCAATCTGAGGATAGTGCAGTGGATTCAGAAAGAGTTGGATGAGTCTAATGGTGATTACGAAGGTACGGCGGCTCGGAAAACTCACTTCGATCGTTCTGATGAGAGAAAGAAAACACCAGAATTTGTTGGTGGGGTCACATACTCAATACGTACGTAGGCCTATATCAAATTCCTTGAGGAGGTAATGCTGCCCTCTGTCAAAAGGGTGGCTGCTGCAAGACCCTATGTCTCGCAACAGGATTATGCACCATGCCACTCACAATAGAACTAGCTGCCCGAAAATTTCTGCGACCACATCATCCCTTACTTCCCAGCTTGAAGCCCCCTTGATAATTATGTGTGGGGTGCAGTTGATCGAGATACCAACAAAACTCCTTGTAACATCTATGACGAACTGAGGGCAAGGATTATGGCAGCATTCACTTAAACAAAGAGACCGTCCAGAAGAAATCCAGGAGATTCTGAAGATGTCTGGAAGCCGTGGTTGAAGCCAATGACGATTTTATTGAATAAATTTACTCTTTAGTATTTCAAGATATTTTTGTGTAACTTTGGTAAATATATCTGTTAAAACGAGGTGTCAGTGTTATTTTCACTTTTGCGTAATTTAGACAATTTAGCCATCGCACCCAATTTATATATATATATATATATATATATATATATATATATATATATATGATTGTATTATTGTATATATGACATGTTACACACACATATACACATGGGGAGAGAGAGAGAGAAAGAGAGAGAGAGAGAGAGAAATAAATGAGAGAGGGGAAAATAAAAATAAAACAGATGTTCACTTCGGCATCATAAATGGAATTCATATTCCAACGAGTTGGAGATGCCGGTGAACAGTTGAACAGTTTAAATTAAGTTTTTGAGCTTGTTCTTCAACTGCAGTTGTAAGTATGCCATTTCTGTCGAGTTCCGACAAGCGCATGTCTTCGGAAACACCAAGAAGTCTGAATATTCACGACGCAACTTTTCACATGATCTTCGGCAATTTCTTCCATTTATACCAGGCGTCCTCAACTAAGGGTGAGTGGGATTCAGGTTTTCAAGAAGGCTAGTAAAAATAGTTTACTTTTTCGCAAATTCCTCATTAGAAAAAAAACAGTTTAAATACCATGTTTAGAGAATACAAACATCTTGGGATACTGTTGAACTGTTTGTTTATTGAAGTACTAGCAGGATAACCCGCCTTCGACCGGGTCTTTCATTACTGGGAAGTTTTGCTGTTCAATTGGAACAGTTTATGTTTAAAATCAGCCCACCCCAAAATCAATATTAGTAACAACAATTGGGTGCAACTGAAGCACATCTCCAAATGGTGGGGTTAACAATTTGAATGGGGGGGGGGCTGAAAAGGGCCGTTTTTGCATTCTAAATATTGTTTCAGCCTCACGTGTAGTAGTAGTTGAAGAGGCGTTTCTCCTCAGCAGTTTCAGCCTCGCGCGCAGAAGCGTTCGGGTGAAAACTCTGGAAATGCATAAACAACATCCGATCACACACACACACACACACACACACACACACACACACACACACACACACACACACACACACACACTTTTTGAGAATTATAGATAAAGAAGATATTACTGTAATAATTTAAACTATTTATTTTTATTAACATTTTTTTTTATAAAAGATATATATCCAAGGACAGATAGTAAATAGTAAAACGTTGCTGAGATGGACAGGAAATAGTGGAGAGCCATTGTCACCCACAATTTGGACTCTAAACCGGCACTGAAGAATTATCTATCAAACAAACAAAAAATCATCGAAATCAGATGAAAACTGGGGAAACGCATAAACATCCGATCACACACACACACACACACACACACACACATACACACACACACACACACACACGCGCGCGCGCACACACATACACACATACATGCATACACACACATACACACATACATACATACACACATACACACACACATACACACACACACATACACACACACACACACACATTTTGAGAATTATAGATATAGATGCTTCAGTTTATTTATTTAATAGTTAGTTATTAATTAAAGCACTTTACAGTACATGTATTCAAATTTAAAAATCCAGCAAATTTTTCTGCTATTAAAATTGTTAAACCCATCTATAAAAGCAATCCATGTAAATGTATATATGTAGGAATATGGAAAAAAATGAAGGTGGTCAATAATATACGAGTGTAACAGCAAAATTGTCCAAATCATGTACCAGCAAAATTGTCCATTTGTTAGATTAAGCTTTGAACCATTTTTTTATCTTAGAAATGATTAAAGATATTTTACCGGAATTTTCCGAGGTTTTTATAACACAATTGGTCTCTACTTTGGACCATAAGAATGTAGTTAGGTCTAAGTTGAAATGTTGAACCATCTTGCTGATGTGACCTCCTGATCCAGTTTTTCTCTCTACTGTTCTCTCTTTCTAAAAACTTATTCACCGTTCTCTTGATGGCTCTTGAATGGACTTTAAAGATGGAGGCCAGAGTATGAATGTTGGCCCCATTACTGAAGGTCTGAATGATCTTCCCCCCCACCCCACCATTGCTCAATTGGGAATATATAGTGGGGCTGACACAAAACGATTTAAACCTGTTCTCTTTATAGCTGAATAACTCAAAGGGTTTTTCAGTGATTCTTATGACAAATGGTGTCAAAATGGCTAAACGTCTTATGGGAAAACCTGGAAAAAAGAAACTAGTTTAGTGTTTTTTTTTTTTTTTTAGATAGTAAGCATTTTGTGGAATGGACAATTATCGGACGCTATTACACGATTTGGACAATTTTGCTGTTACACCCGGTATGCATATTATTTGGAATCGGACAGTGTCGGAAAGCAGGTGAATGGCATTCTGACTCGAGTTTAGAAGGGTGCATGGGACAAAAAAGCTTAAGAACCATCGTTGTATACAATTTGTGAAGCAGTTAATCTACTCATTTTACTTTTAAGGATTTTGTGATGTCAACGAACACTCGTTGTCACTTTTGTAATGTCAACGAATACTCGTTGTCACTTTCGTGTAATAGAGTCTTTGTAATCGTAGATACAACTATAGTAACGCCGTTGAACAATACTTGTGTCAGACGCCTTCGAACAACACTTGCACTAATAGTACTTGGTCGATAATACTCGCTCGAAAGCAGGCACTGAATAGCAATCTGAATAGAGAAATAGTATAGTGAATAGTATCCAAGTCTTGTGATATTAAACTTACACTCGATGCCACTTTTGTGATGTCAGCGAATACTCGCTGTCACTTTCGTAATGCTCGTGGTAGTAGAGACTTTGTAATCGCAGATACAACTATAGTAACGCCGTTGAACAATACTGGAGTCAGACGCCTTCGAATATCACTCGCACTAGTAGTACTTGGTCGATAATACTCGTTCGAAAAGTAGCCACAGAATAGTAATCCTTATATAGATCCGAATGGAGGAATAGTATAGTGAAAAGAGGAGAGAAATGGTACAGACTATAAATGGTGATCCGAATAGTAATAAAGGAGAGACTAGAAAATAGGGATCGTTTAGACGTCAGCTACTTCCTACATATATGTTTTTTCTCTATGGTCATTTAATTCAATAATGGGATCACCTGCGTTTAATCACTGGCCATCTAATGTTCAAACTCAAGTGTCGGCAGCGACACTTTATTCCTATGTAACAAAGGACTGCTAGGTTGCAGCTGTTTTAGAACCTTTTGTCGGTTTTCGATTCCATGTTACATTTTTTATAACGGGAACAGTTAGTAAATTATTTTTGGAGGTGTGTGTGTGTGTGTGACCTAACGGCTCTCCACTATTTCCTGTCCATCTCAGCAACGTTTTACTATTTACTATCTGTCCTTGGATATATATACCTTTCATAAAAAAAATTTTAATAAAAATAAATAGTTTAAATTATTACAGTAATATCTTCTTTATCTATAATTCTCAAAAAGTGTGTGTGTGTGTGTGTGTGTGTGTGATCGGATGTTGTTAATTCAATAATGGGATCACTTGCGTTTAATCACTGGCGATCTATGTTCAAACTCAAGTGTCGGCAGCGACACTTTATTCCTATGTAACAATAGACTGCTCGGTTGCAGCTTTTTTTTTGTTTTAGAACCTTTTGTCGGTTTTCGATTCCATATTACTTTTTATAACGGGAACAGTTAGT